TGCCATCACTCTTATGAGAGGGCAACACGTTGGTAAACCAATTTTTTGTTTGTAAAAATTGTTAATGAAAGTGATAACAAAATCAAAGTTAAACCTCTCCCTACCTATAGGTAAAATAATAAAAATCTGCCGTCTTATTACCAATCAATGTTATTTCCTTTTCAATAACAAGTTTTACAAACAAAACTTTTCCTTCTCAGTAGAGTGATGGCATTTATTTTCTTAGAATTTCTCGAATGTACTTCTTTTCAAAAGATTTAGCTTAAACAATCAAATTACTTCCGATAAACTGATGATGCTCTCTAAATATATCACCGTGATACTAACTTACCGGCTCTTGTTGATAAACTAAACAAAATGGGACACACAACAGAATTCACATACGTAATAGAAATAATTTGCTTTACCTTTCTTAGACATCATGTTACACAGAGTTGACAACAGCCTAAAACTTAGTGGCACCGAAATGATTTAATAAAGTTCTATTTCCATCATAATTACAAAATGAAATCCGGAATGTCCATTGGATTATATACAAGAGCACTCAGAATTTGCAGCCCTCAGTATGTACATGGATAGGGGAAATATACTGAAAATACATTCAAGACCCTTTAATGACGTAACTGTTTCATTTTCAATGCGGAAATAAAGACTCATAACATATTCCAAAATAGAATGGCTGTCCTTCCTGACAAACCCAACGAACCAAAAAATAATTACCCACTAAATCTCTCACAATTACAACCGAAAAGAATTTGTCTAAACTCAATATAAAATATTGTCACAACTACATCTAAAACAATAAAAGATTAATCAATAAAAAACGAAACCAGACAAAACTTGAAGGAAGAATTTACTCTATCAAATGCAGGAATTGCCAGAATGAATACATTGGCGAAACCTCAAGAAGTGTAAACAAAGACTATATGAAAACAAACAGGGCATTTTAAATGACAACATACAAAATACATTGGTTGTTCACAGTAACGGACACAATTTTGAAAATGCTTTTATTAATTAAAAAACAAAATAATCCGCTGAAACAAAAATGTCTTGATAGTGCCTTGATCGCTAGTTCAGCCACAGTAAATATGCATCCAGGCTCTTACAATATATCACCATTCTTGGTAGATTTTATATTGTTACAGCGTGGGATACTCAGGGAAAATGTGACGGAGAGTGAAAGAAAACCAATACAGAATAATTTGGTTAGACTGAAATAAAAAAAAATATTCTTTTAAAAATATTCATCATCATCAAAACTGTTTCGATTTGAGGTCATGATTTAACATGTTCTTTCATCTTCAGTGGCATTGTATACTAATTCGACAATATTTTGCCAGCCTTCTATCTCCTCAGCGAGTTCACGGATTTGTTGCAGAGGTTCCTTGATTGTGAAATTCTCCAAAGCAAAAGTGGGGTCTTTCTGTCTTGTTCTTTGAATGTCTCGGTTCAGCGTTGGGACTATGGTGGTATTTGGATGACAAAAATATTCATTCAAAAGAATTTGGAACTACCAGCGTCTCTCGTTTCGTGCTCATGTGTAGACGTGCCAACATCAACAAAGCCAAGTCCGATGAAATCGTAATGGATGAAACGCGTCACAAGATATTTTCCAGTTTGTCGTATTTTTCTAAATATAAAGGTTGTTCATTAAGACGGATCAATGTCAGCAGTAAACAAATCAGTGTTATTAGTGAAAATTTATTTATTTTTCTATTGGATCATGTTATGTAAGTCATGGCATTTATGTGTGGAAAATAATATCACCCAAATATTCAACAAGGCTTCGGTGGTCAAAATTTTTGATGACGTCTTTGCATAGTTGCTCCTCGATCTCGCCTTATTATCTCACTCTTTAGATTTTGAATTGTTGTTGGCTTGTTGGCATAAACCGTATTTCTGAGATGACCCCCAAAGGAAGAAATCTAAAAGCGTCAAGTCGCACGATCGAGGTGGTCAATTCGAGAGATAATGTGACCTGGGAAATTGTTTGAACGTCCATATTCGTAATAGGCTACGATAACTTTAACCCATTGTTAATCTTTCCATGATTGAAATTTCCAAAGACTTAAGTTGTTAAATCTGAAAGAAAAAGAAAAAAATCATTAGAATCTATAACTTATTTCACATTGAAAATCGGTCCAAGTTATTGGAACACCGCTTATATACTGAGCTTACTGCAAATTGTGCCAAGAAGAAAAACTGTTCTAACGAAATCTAAAAAAAAAAAAATAATGAGATATTAATAAATTGCCAGCATAGAAGATAACATTTTTAGCACGCTTGGTGCTACGTCATTGGCGGGATTATTTTGAATCCTGTTGGGTTCGTTTTATTGCTAAAGATTTTGAGAAAGTATTTCGTTCATTGTTTCTTTCCAGTGTAATATCTGTCTTCTGCTGTAATCATTCTTTACAAGTGACAGAACAGATCCAAAGTGGAGCATTGCTCCATATCTAAGCTACAACTGTCCAGTCCTCACCTGTCTATCTTTATAGTGTTCACATACCTCTAATCGACTTTGTGAGGAATAAATTATTTTCCACTCTACAGATGAAAATTCACAATCCTCTCTCGACTCCATCGCTATATGACCATTGTTCTCTACCAGCTACATTCCTTTGTTCCGCCAATCTTAAAATTTGCTGCTGGGACAAGCCATGCCACGTATTCGGCGATGAATTGTTCTCATTCCGTTCATATTACATTAAATTTCACCCGGATAACTTTTCCTTAAAAAGTACTGCTTTGTGGAACAGGCACCCGGCAGAGTTTGTTCTCGGTTATTATAATCTTAATCTCTTAATCTGTTTAAGTTTAACCGTTATCTTTCATAGATAACCCCATGAACGGCACTTATTTCCTTTTCTTGCGATCATACAATACCATATACTATTACTCTACTTTGAGTTACTCTTGTGCCTGGGATTGGGTGAATATTAGTATTTAAAAAAATATTCTTAGGCTTTTGAATCCTATTTTTTTACAAATGCTTTTGCGTAGTAATAGGAGTAGATATCTCCGCTTATAGTTCAGTTCACACGCTTCTGGGTCTTCTGAACATGGGTAGAGGTATGTTTTCGCTTTAGGATTGAGTTTCTGGTTCCTTCTAAAGTCTACATCAACTCTATACTTCTAACGTCTCCACCTAAGCTTTGAAATTTTGCTTACTATTTATTTTCTAAAACAACAGGTATATATAGGTTCGCCTATCATTTGGTTCAATCTCCGACCCGGTCTTTTGAACAGTAGACTTGTATCACTTATTCCCTGTTTAGAACTGAATTTCCGGTTCATTCTAAGGTCTTTTAATTCCCTTATTATTCCCACTAGCTCTTTAGATCTTAGTCGCGTTGCTTGAGAAGAATCAATAAAAAAGAATGAAATACATCCTTCTGCATTTATATTACTTGATCTGGTAACATTCTGTAAATAAATATTGCATTTATTCTCCCGCAGTCTTTCACGAAACCACACGTTTACTTTGAAAGATATGTGTTGTCTTAGTGTCTTTACTATGGTCTAATCAAGTCTAAATCTTTAAAATTCGAAATATATTTACATATTATTTATGGAGATAATTTCAAGAGCAATCACATCACGATGCCCCGACAGTTATTTAAATTACTCCTTTGCGATAATACTTACCGTAACATATATTTTCAAAATAATACATACGCCTTGTTCGCACATTTAAGAGAATTGTTTAAGGATTTGATTAATTTAATTTTGAATTTGATATTGTTTCTTGTTACCCTATTGTTTTTGAAAAAATAAGATTACAGCAAACAAATCATTTTGCATTGTAAGTTAAATCCAGTAAATGCATTGTGATTACTTCATTAATTTTTCGGATACACGAATATGGGCTTTCGAGACGATAGTAAGATGTGCATTCTTTAAAAAGGTAAAAGAAAGTCTTCTGACTGGGCAGCTCCAGGTCATATGGTGATTTCCCTTAAAGAGAGGGGAGCAAGTTTGAAACCAAGCACAGAGTATATTTAGCTTTATTAAGTATATCTATCTATAAAAGGCAGGATGTGTGTGTGTGTGTGTGTGTGTGTGTGTGTGTGTGTGTGTGTGTGTGTGTGTGTGTAACGAATGCACGGCCGCAATTTTCGACGGATTTTTACCAAAATTTACATGCACATGCTCCAAGTTAGCGGGAAGGCAAAGACCGACTTTGCATTTCCCAACTCCCATCGATAGTGGAAATACTCGATTTTTTTCACGCTTCTACGGCAGTTTTCATGTAGTTTGCGGCCATTTTGTACTGGCCAAGAATAGGCAGGAAGATTCTATCGGCCAGCGTGAGAGCCAACAGCTGACTGACACGAATGTTAACTAGCAAAAAAATCGATAGCTGCATTCGTCACAAGTGGGAAAAATTTAAATCTGCATGGCACTTTACTCCAATTGGCTAATTCGCTTGCTTAAACTCAACGTTGATTCTGATTCCGCAGAACTGGGTTGGGTGTGAAAAAGTATTTGTTGTTAACATTCTTTTTTTCATTTGGTTTTTCCAGTTACGAGTCCTTTTGTAAAGCTGATCGTTTTGTGTTCATTTTGTTTAGTTCTTTTTTCGTAACAGATTTAATGTTTAGTATAGAGCTTAGAAGAAATTCGCAGTGTGAGATAGGCAAAAAGTAAGGTATGTTGAAACATCAGCACGGCAAAGGGCACTCCTTTAAAGGCAAGTAAGGGCAAAAATATTTTAAGTCAAGTGATAACGATTGCTGTATGAGTTGTACTATTTTTGAATCAAGCACGGGCAACGCCGAGCCATGCTGCTAGTTCCGAATATGCAGACTGGTAGACATAAATCGCAAGGATAAAAAAATTTTTTTTAAAAAACAGCCCCCCCCCCCCGAAAAAAAATTTTTATCTGTTCAAACACATGTATCTAAAAATATAAATTTAGGGTGATGTGAATCAGTTAAGTGTGTAATTTTCTTTTTTTGTTTGTTTATTTGTTTTTACTACTTTGTGTCATCAATATGAGCCTCTTCTCCAAGAACGCCTACTACTTTTGGGACTTCTTAAAGAATATCTTCTTAACCGATTCATTACCCACTTCATTCTCTCACTTGTTTATTCTTTGTGATACTCCAATATCGTTTCCCTCGATAGCGTATTTCTTTTTATTCTATTATCTTTTGTTAGCTTTTTTTCTTTACAAATTTCTCCACCTTCCTACACATTTCACCAAGTTTGAGGCTTTTGTTTTCTTTCACTACAGTTCAGTTTTTCTTTCTTCTTCAGCTACTTCTACCATATTTCCATCAAAGGTTAATCAGCCCCGTGTCGACAATGAAGGTTCCAAACACAGATTTCGCAGGTGCGTTTCGAAAACAAATTATTGAGCACTCATGCTTAACGCATTCCCTACGGAGTCGGCGTTTTTTCTTCCTTGATGTCTATTTCTTCTTCAAACTCATGGCCACGGTATGATAAGCAGCACTTCATTCGCTCTTGAATGAAACGTTTGAGCGTTACCCTAATTGAGAAGATAGCAACCGTTGAAAACAGGATATATGCTCTAAGCCAAGTAGGTTTACTATCTAACATACATCTCAGCTTCGCTTATGCACGAGATGTGCACGGGAAATGCTCCGCCCATTAAATATTAACCAAAATAGATGATTTGTCTACCACTTTTGCAAACAATGCAAATGCTCTGCTTAAGGGTCGATCTGAGCTACTTCGTCACGTTCTCTGTATTCTCGTCCATGATCTGAAACTCCTAACTTTCGACCCAGATTTTAGTTAGACTGTAGACATGGGCGATGCAAAACTTTGCTCTAAATCATAAACAGCATGTGAGAATATACACTCAATTGAATGCTTGATTGATTTGGCTATTTAACAGCTGCAGGTTATTTAAAGTCAGAAAATGTTTTTAGATTGTAAGAATATTTGAGAGATAATAATGATTTACTAATTTTCTGTCCTACTAATGAACACATAGGTTGGGGTGAAGAGGTGGACTCATACATTTCCAAAAACTATTTTCGCGTGAACATATATAACGAACCCGACTGGAATTGGAGCTCTTCTTTTTCCAATTTCGAGCCATCTACTCAATACAAAACTTAGTATTCCCAAGCGGTCACCAATCTAAGTATTGACAAGGCTCGACGTTGCTTAAATTCTGAATACATCACTCGTCAAGGGAGAAACATCAGAAGAAATAATAGCGATGTTAATATAAGTCACTTTTTACATGTTTCCACGGCTGAGAAAGAATTTGCTCTGCCAAACTTAAATTTATTGCTGTTAAAATACAGAAATACATATTTAAAAAAAAAGAAAAAAACTACATTTATTGTATGTCATTTGAAAGTTTTCCTTACTACAATTTAACGCACGATATGCGATTAGAACAAGGAAGATTTATTTTAATTCCATTATTTTCAATCTTCTATGAGCACATCCCTATTTGCATAAGCTTCTAAATTTCAGGGAAAAAAATTTATAAACAGTTTTAGTTAATTCTCATACGTTTATTACTGAATTTTTGAATAAACAATCACATGAGGACGTTTCAGTTCCACTGTAAATTTAATAAAAACATTAATGAATAAATAAAATTATCTTCACTCTTTTTGATAGATCTTGTAAAATATTCATCGGGAGACAATAAAAAATGGCCACATTCTATTTATGTATCTATCTATAACAAGAAAAAGAACAAACAGGAAAGGTTTATCAATCTAACATGTTTCACTTTTATTAAATCTTCATTAAAGAATGGGATATGAAAAAAAGAAAAAATACATTCTGTTATTTTTATTTTTCTGTTTGATTTCCATTGCTCATTCATGTTTCCCGTGCTTTCGAGTCTTCAAACCAACGTTAGTATATATTATGGCGTTTCGAATCCAAGGAGAGACGACGGGTTCATCCAAAATTTAAAGGAATTAATGGATTATAACTGACTAAATATAACTGATATCTATCTATCTATCTATCTATCTATATATATATATATATATATATATATATATATATATACACTGTCATCCTCAGATATACTGTTTCGCTGTATCACAGTTCATCAGGGTGACTAGACATCCGACCGCTTCAAGCCGGGACCGCAAACGGGACCGATTCGGCATCAATCGGAGATTCTAACCCATAGGCTATCGGCACTGGGCAGAGAGGAAGGCGAATTTTTGCGTATTTATCTTTTTTCATAAACACGCCAGTGTCCCAGAGAATCCAATGGGTTGGGAGAGTCTTGCATTATTAGCTGTAATAGTCACTGTTTACAAATTCGAGCTTTCTCCCCACAGTTCTCCACCGAATTAATTTCTTTTCGCGAGATAAATATATATATATATATATATATATATATATATATATATATCTCTCTCTCTCTCTCTCTCTCTCTCTCTATCTCTATCTCTCTCTCACTCTCTCAGAATGTAGCATTGGATGCTCTGTCAATTTTTTTTCCCATAAAGAAACGTCTAATACTAAAAATTACCATTAACTTTAGTGTTATGCATTTGTCTAACACTATTACGCAAAAACAGTCTTCTTTGCATAGAGCAAGAATTCAATGAAATACACAGATTTCAAGAGACAAGACAATTATGGATTTATATCACTGGATTTATTTTACCTATACAGCTTTTCTCTCCAGTATGCATCATTCTACCCTTCTGCAAATCTGACTTTGCTGAAAAGTCAGAGCCATACACTTCACAAGAATATGGTTTTTATCCAGTATGTATTCGTATGTGCAGTTTTAAACTTGTATTTTGTGAAAAGGAAGAGCCACACGCATCAGACTCATGTTTTAGCACGTGCAGTTTTAAACTTGTATTTTGTGAAAAGAAAGAGCCACACACACCACAATGATGGGGTTTCTCTCCAGTATTTGTTCATTTATGCTGTTTCAAAATCAACTGTTTTGAAATGGAAGAGACACAAACTTCAGAAGGACATAGTTTTGTCTCATTATGTGTTCGTATAAACTTACCAAAATTCATTTTTGGCCCCCAAATTTTAACAACATAAGATATGCAGATGATACAGTTTTGATAGCAGACAAGGAAAGGAAACTGGAGAAAATCCTACATATGGCGAGGAATCTGACATCATGTACGTTATCAAATGGAACAGCTGAACATGCTACTTATAAAATGGAGATCACAAAATCAAACAGATGCAACCATTTAAATACCTGGGAAATTCTTCAACATAGGACGCAAAGTGCAACACTGAAATCTGAAGGCGCATTGGGATAAGCGAAAGATGCTTTCCAAAAGCTAAGCGAAGTATTAAGAAAGACAATGATTTCGTTAGAAACAAAGAAAAGAATACTGAAATTATATGCAATATCCGTCCTTCTATATGTTAATGAATGTTGACCAATCCCATCATAGATTAAGAAAAGAAACATAATATTGTTCTACAGAAGGATGCTGAGCATAACGTAGACGAGACATGTGAGCAAAGGCAAAGATTTAGAGAAAATGGCAACATGAAGTAAATTTATACTGAATATCTGGGAGTGACAGTTGAAATTTTTAAGATACATCATAACGAAAGATGACTTGGAAAATTTGATTCTCACAAGACAGACTAAAGACAGTGGGAGAGAGAGAGAGAGAAACAATGCAAAACCAACATAGCGAGCTTGAGTAAATGGATGGCTTAATAAATTTTAAGAGTGGTAACAAAAACACAAAATTTATTAAGAGTTACAAAGGACAAGAAATTGTGGAGAGCCATGATCGTCATTGTCCTGAAGTGACACAGAAGAAGAAAACCATCCTAGACAGCAGGCGAATGCTTGATAATCTCCTTATACATTAAGAATAGTTTTGAAGCGATGGAAGTATGCAATAAAATGCTGAGAATATTATGAACGGAGCAGGCATTTTTTTAATGAGGAGTACAAAGAAACAACTGTAAAAAATCAAAAAATGGCAGCGGAAGTTTCTGCAACAAATAATGAGGAAAGATGATTTGGAGAATTTGAAACTCACGGGAATAATAAAAACAAAGAAAGACGAGAAAAGAATGAGTAACATATTTCATGAGCCTGAATGAAGGGATGACAAAAAAGGACAAAGACGATGGTTAATGGAAGATTTTATAAATTTCAACCTACAGCACATCTAAATGCTCGGCCAATCAATGCCGAATATGTATTATTACTATTCACGATCACCAATTCCGTGAACCATTAGGGTCATCACATCTACTGCTTCTCCTAGACTGGTTGTTAATCAAGGCTATAAAAAACAGTATATCCTACTATTTATCCATAGCTGGGTGGAGAAGAAGAAGATTCATACCTTTCCCGTAAGTGAACGTAATAGATCTCACCTGAATTCGAACTCGGCTCTCCGATTCCTCAATCCGAGCCTCTATCCATTACTCCTATACTATTACCATTACCATAATCAGTTTGTTGTATGTAGAGTTAGCATATTTATCCGATGAACTTTTACCCCACCCTTCGCTGTATGGCTTGTAAGCAGGAAGCGATGAGTTAACATACTCAACCGGGCGGACATGCGTACATTTCGACACATGCAAGAACTTGTCATGTGTTATGTCCATTCAACGGTGCGCTGCATACGCCGTTGTTCTACAGCCAGACATTTTTTCCTCTGACTCCGTTCGATAGTCTCGCCTCTCTTCTTGTCCAAGTTGTCTTTTTTGGCCTCTCATCCTATCTCGCTTCCCCGCTCAATCACCGTTCCCGTTATTTTTTTTTATTATTATTCCGACCCCCGCCTCGACTCGCATCCACTTCAAACCGCTTCAGCTTCAACTGGCCTCCGCCACGACCCACTACCACCGCAACTCGTATTCTCATTGATTACATTTTTTGTCAATTACGTTCTTTCTTTCTTTCTTTTTTTATTGTTACGTGCTTGATTTGTAGTTGTATATTAATTTTTTTCCTCAACGACCATGGGTGTAAATGGCGGCGGAACGGGGACTGGGGATCTAGCAATGGTGGGTGGGAGTAACGATTTCATTCTGTATTTTGGTTTTCTTTTCTTTGTGAAGGGTTGTTTGCCGTTTACTGTAGTTTTTGTCAATGTCAGTTCCACCCCTTCACTTTCTCTATAAGCGTTCCCCACCTCCTCTCTCTCTCTCTCTCTCTCTCTCTATATATATATATATATATATATATATATATATATATATATGCATGTGCGCTCATGCTTGTATATGTGTCTGTTCTGTGGCTAGAGTTGATTGACCACCTGTTGTGGTATGACGCCATCACCGGAGACATCACCTAACCCCAGGGGCCTTCTATTTACTTATCGATAGTTATTTTTACTTATTTTCTTTTTGGCTCATTCACTTAAGCCTTTATTCCAAGGCCCTCTCCCTACCATCCCAAGTTCTTCAGCGGTTCGTTTTTAATCACCATTTTCTCTGTTCTTTAACGTTTTTTTTTTTTTTGTTTCTTTTAACTCTTCATTCACCCGACTCTATCTATTCGCTCGTCAAATCTTCTTGCGTCAACGTTTTATTCCATCGTTTCTTTCTTTTTATTTTTCTTCGTGTGCTTTCATTCAGTAACTTTCTCCTCTGTGAAACATAACCTTTACAAATGCAAGTGTGGAAGTCTAGTAATGGCACCTAAGCAGATCTTTATAACTAAGCAAAAGCAAAATTTAGCACGGGCACACACACACACACACACACACACACACACACACACACACACACACACACACACACACACACACAGATATACTTTCATGTTGATATATACACGTGAATAATCTTTTTTCTTACAGATTTTAATTAATCCATCTTCATCTTTCTTTTATTTCTTGTTCATTTTTCGGATTTATTTTCATTGTTTTTATTTCGGAATTTCACTTCACTTTCTAATTTCGATTCTTCAAGTGTATTTGTTGTTTCATCTTCATTCATGTTTCCTTTTTCATTTTCAGCTCCTTCTTTTTCAGATTCCTCTTTTTCAAATATTCTTCTTCAAATCCTTCATCACTTTTTTCTCTTACTTCTACTTCATCTACTTTATATTCTTCTTCCTTTGCAGATTTCCTTTTTCAAAATATTCTACTTCATATTCTTCTTCTTCTCCTTCTCCTTCTCCTCCTCCTCCTCCTCCTCCTCCTTCTTCTTCTTCTTCTTCTTCTTCAGATTCCCTTTTTCAAAATATTCTACTTCATATTCTCCTTCTTCTCTTTCTCCTTCTCCTTCTCCTCCTCCTCCTCCTTCTTCTTCTTCTTCTTCTTCAGATTTCCTTTTTCAAAATATTCTACTTCATATTCTTCTCCTTCTACTCCTCCTCCTCCTTCTTCTTCTTCTTCAGATTTCCTTTTTCAAAATGTTCTACTTTATATTCCTCTACTTCTGCTTCTTCTTCTTCTTCTTCTTCAGATTTCCTTTTTCAAAATATTCTACTTCATATTCTTATTCTTCTTCTCCTTCTCCTTCTCCTCCTCCTTCTTCTTCTTCTCCTCCTCCTTCTTCTTCTTCTTCTTCTTCTTCAGATTTCCTTTTTCAAAATGTTCTATTTTATATTCCTCTTCTTCTTCTTCTTCTTCTTCTTCTTCTTCCTTTTTCAAAATATTCTACTTCATATTATTCTTCTTCTTCTCCTTCTCCTCCTCCTTCTTCTTCTTCTCCTTCTCCTCCTCCTCCTTCTACTTCTTCTTCAGATTCCCTTTTTCAAAATGTTCTACTTTATATTCTTCTTCTCCTGCTTCGTCTTCTTCAGATTTTCTTTTTCAAAATATTCTACTTCATATTCTTCTTCTTCTCCTTCCTCCTCCTTCTCCTCCTCCTCCTTCTTCTGCTTCTTCTTCTTCTTAAGATTTCCTTTTTTCAAAATGTTCTACTTTATATTCTTCTTATTCCTCTTCTTCAGATTTCCTTTTTCAAAATATTCTACTTCATATTTTTCTTCTTCTCCTTCTCCTTCTCCTCCTCCTTCTTCTTCTTCTTCTTCAGACTCCCTTTTTCAAAATATTCTATTTTATATTCTTCTTCTTCCACTTCTTTTTGTTCTTCAGATACCTTTTTTCTAAATGTTCTACTCTATATTCTTCTTCTTCCACGATTTCTTCTTCAGATTCCCTTTTTCTAAATGTTTTAATTTATATTCTTCTTCTTCTTCTTTTTCAGAATCCACTTTCTTAGAATCTTTTTTTATATTCTTTATCTTCTGATTACCCCTTTTCGAAATGTTCCTCCGATTATTCTTCATCAATTTCTTTTTCTTCAGATTAACCGTTTTCAAAGTTTTATACTTTATAGTTTTCATCACTTTCCTTATTATCAATTTCTTCTTCTATTTTCCATCTCCTGTTAACAATTACAATACTGCATCTTTCACTTACTTAGGATTTCATTTCACAAACGTAACACCCCTACTTCTTACCTTGTTTCATCTCTTCTTTCCTTTTGCTTCAGTTTTCTATTTTCATTACACTCCTCCGCCTTTTCCACTTTATTCTTCTGCTTCCATCTCATTCTTCTTTGTCTACTGACCACTACTTCCCATCAATCCGCATGCCTACTACCTATAAACCACGGCCTTCCAATATCAGGCTTACGGCTTTCTCTTTTTTCCTTCATCATTCCAACCTTTAGTGAGTCATCGTGCCTTGTGGACAGCTTCATATCGAATGAGATCCCAACAGGAAACAACAAAACGAATAACAAACTATTAAAAAAAAAGAAAATTAGGGTATCCAGTGTGTGTGTGTGGCGAGAAAAGAAAAATGGCGAGAAGCGATGGACAGTATGGGAACGGCAAATTACGTAGGCATAGATAAACGAAATGAACGAAAGACACAAAATGAGGAGACACATCAGGCACATACAGACACATATGGACGCACATTTCATGGATATCGGAATAGGGGTAAGAAAGAATGACACATAAATTGGTGGAAGATAGAAATCACGGAAGCTTAAAATACAAAAGTGAAGCAATGAGGGAGTCAGTACAGGTAGTCGGAAGAAAGAAATAAAGAAAGAATGATAAAAAGAAAGAAAGAACGAATGATACAAAGAATGAAAGAAAGTAAGAGAAAGAAAGAAAGAAAAATGAAAGGAAATGATGCAAAATAAAAGAAAGACAATGACAAGAAATCAAAGGAAAGAATAAACGAATGAAGAAAAAATGAAGCAGAATACAAGGAAAGAAAGAAAGAAATACTTAAAATAGATAATAAAAATGAAACACTTGAAGGAAGATGGAAGAAACAAAAAATAATATGTCATAAAGGAAACAAAGAAACTCTTTCGGTGACTGGTAAAAATTGATAGATAGAGAAGTAGATTAAATGAAGAAGAAGATCGGAAAAAAGAAGGATGTAAAAGTGTTAATGCTTAAAATAAATAAATAATAAAAGAAAGACATTTGGAATTTTTAAAAAAATGTTTGAGATGAAAGAAATAAATAGAACTGTTATAAAAAGAAAAGAAATGCTTGTAAATACATAAAGACAGAAAGAAAAAAAAGATAGGAATAAGTCATTAAGAGAGAAGAAACGAGTGAAAAGAAAGAAAGGAAGAAAGAATGATAAAAAGGAATAATGAAATAGAAAATTAAGAGAAGAGAAACGGTCGAAAAGAAAGAAAGAAAGAAAAAAGAAAGAAAGGAATAATGAAATAGAAAATTGAGAGCTCAGAAACGAGCGAAAAGAAAGAAAGAAAAAAAGAAAGAATAAAAGAATGACAGAAAGGAATAATGAAATAGAAAATTAAGAGAAGAGAAACGAGTGAAAAGAAAAAAAGAAAGAATGTCAGAAACTGAAGTATATAAATAAAAGAAGAAAGAATGAATGAATGAAAAGAAGTAAAAATATAAAAAAAATGAAGGAAATGAAAAGAAATCAAACTCAAAGTAGAACTGTACAAACAAAGAATACAAAGAAAGAATGAAAGAAAGAATAGAAAGAAAGAATGAAAGAAAGAATAAAAGAAAGGATAGAAAGAAAGAATAGAAAGAAAGAATAGAAAGAAAGAATAGAAAGAAAGAATGAAAGAAAGAATAGAAAGAAAGAATAGAAAGAAAGAATGAAAGAAAGAATGAAAGAAAGGATAGAAAGAAAGAATAGAAAGAAAGAATGAAAGAAAGAATAGAAAGAAAGAATAGAAAGAAAGAATGAAAGAAAGGAATGAAAGAAAGAATGAAAGAAAAGGAGAATGAAAGAAAGAATGAAAGAAAGAATAGAAGAAAGAAAGAAAGAAAGAAAGAAGGAAAGAAAGAATGAAAGAAAGGATAGAAAGAAAGAATAGAAAGAAAGAATGAAAGAAAGAATAGAAAGAAAGAATAGAAAGAAAGAATGAAAGAAAGGATAGAAAGAAAGAATAGAAAGAAAGAATAGAAAGAAAGAATGAAAGAAAGAATGAAAGAAAGGATAGAAAGAAAGAATAGAAAGAAAGAATGAAAGAAGAAAGAAATAATATAAAAGAAAAGAATGAAAGAAAGGATAGAAAGAAAGAATGAAAGAAAGAATAGAAAGAAAGAATGAAAGAAAGGATAGAAAGAAAGAATAGAAAGAAAGAATGAAAGAAAGAATAGAAAGAAAGGATAGAAAGAAAGAATGAAAGAAAGAAAGGATAGAAAAAAAGAAAGAAAGGATAAAAGAAAGAATAGAAAGAAAAGAATAGAAAAAAGAAAAATGAAAAAGGATAGAAAGAAGAAATGAGAAAGAAAAGAATGAAAGAAAGAATAGAAAGAAAGAATAGAAAGAAAGAATGAAAGAAAGAATGAAAGAAAGGATAGAAAGAAAGAATAGAAAGAAAGAATGAAAGAAAGAATGAAAGAAAGAATAGAAAGAAAGAATGAAAGAAAGAATAGAAAGAAAGAATGAAAGAAAGGATAGAAAGAAAGAATAGAAAGAAAGAATGAAAGAAAGGATAGAAAGAATGAATGAAAGAAAGGATAGAAAGAAAGAATGAAAGAAAGAATGAAAGAAAGAATAGAAAGAAAGAATAGAAAGAAAGAATAGAAAGAAAGAATAGAAAGAAAGAATGAAAGAAAGGATAGAAAGAAAGAATAAAGGTATAATAAAGCTGAGAAAACTGTTTGAAAATTCATAAAAATGTAAATATTGAAAGAAAAAAATAAGGGAAATTGTAGATTTCTTTAAAGTAATGTTCACCCTATACAAAGCTCGGAAACCACTCGAGGCAGAGGGTTACGTTAAGGAGTAGTTTATATGGATAGGAGGGGAAGATAACGGATGATTCTAGACTTGAACAGGTTAAGGTTGTAGTGATCGGGGAAACATCCACTTGGGAGCCTGTTTCACAGAGCAGTGGTTCGGAGGAAGAATCTGTTTGAGCGGAACTCATCGATAGAATACAGAGGGGGTGTGTGGGCGGATTGCTACTCTGCAAGTGGTATGGTGGGTCGGAGCTGTGAAGGTTCGACCTGGCGGAACCAAGGAATGCAATTCATTCGCGCATTTTCCATGGTAGTAGCGATAGAGCTGTGAGAGAGTTGCCACATCCGACCTGTGAGAGAGAGGTTGGAATGTGGAAAATAATCCTTCGCTAACAGGGATTCGGAGTCTCATTTGAGCAATATCACGACTGAAAAGTGAGGACAGGACAGCTCCAACCCAAATATGACAAGAGTACTTCATTCCCCGCCTGATCTAGCTTTTATAAAGAGAATAACAGGAGAAGTCAGGTACTTACCGGATCAGCACAGATGAAAAGGAAATGCTTGGTTTTGTTCAAATATAGAACGGAAGGTATATTAAAAGTGTGGCCGAAAGTAAAAAAACAAAAAAAAAAAAAACAGAAAAAATGTCATATGGAGACAAATTTATATTTGAAGCGAAATTTAAACAAAGTAAAATATTCCAGTATGGAATCAATGTTTGACAGGCTTTCCTTTTACAAATTCTAACATTGCATGTAAAGAATGAAATGATTTGAAGAGAAATCGATAAATTGTATAAAGATAAACTTCTTCGATAGAAAAGGTTGCCTGACCGATTTAAAAATCACCATTCCAGATTTTGGCTTATAACTAAGATTGGCTAGCACCAACTGGGACCAATTTGAAATATACAAAAACGTGATGTCGTTGTATATATCACATTGGTTCCCTAACCAACCTAGATATATTTACAAGACTTTAAAATTTCCACCTCCTTCGTAGTTAAATCTGTAAGGATCTGTTTACATCTAATTGGAGCAGTTCATATATTACTGGGGGATATTTATATTTTTCCGATCGATGCTGCATCGTAAATCATCTTGACGTTGCTATCAAAAAAAGCCACAAAAATATAATGAAAAAGCACTAGTTAAAATTTGATAAAGACTAAGTACTTCAGATAAACTTTTCTGGTATAAAAAATTAAATGATCCCAGATAAAAAAAACAAAAAGGCATTTTCATAAGTGAAGTTTGAACTATGCAAGGAATACCTAGCGAGGTTAGTGTGCTAAACATTAGTACACGGCGATTTTTATAAAAAATTAATATAACTTTAACAATATAAGAAACACAAAGGACACCTTTTTGATGACAGACACAGAATGAGAGCTTCAGTTACTTGTAGGCACGATAACAAAGGAAAGCGAGAAGACAGGACTAAGGATTAACGTTAAGAAGATAGAATATATAGTGGATAGGAGAAAGCAAGAGCCCACGATGCGAGCAACGAACTCAAAATCAAGCCTGTGCAGAATTTGAAGCATCTAGGAAGCTTTAAAACCGACGCTAGAAAGTGGGGAACAGAAATGACTAACGGCTATGTTATATCAATCCGCTTACTAATTAACCCATACTTGGGGGCGAAGAGGTAGATTCATAACTTTACCAAGGTTATTTCCGCGTGATTCAATATAACGATATGAATTGGAACTCCGCTCCCTACATTTCCATTAGCCATTACACTATCCGCTTGTCGCATCTGGTATTCCCAAGCGGACTTTGAATCAGAAAGAAAATGTTCGACACATAACGAGGGATGAGGGCTTGGAAAATTTGAAACTTACAAGATATACTAAAGGCGAAACTAAGAGAGCGACTTAGCTATGTAACGAGCTGAATGGACTATAGTGAAAGGATAAATATTGCATAGAACTACTTAGAATAGGACGTCGCAGAGAGTTATGAACACCTACGTCTGGTACAGCAAAGAAATAGGAGAACTATAACTTTGTTGGGAAACGTGTGTTAAGCCATACTAATGGTTTTCAAGTCTGGCGTACAAATCACCTCTCCACGGTGACTTATTTGAAATCGGACGATGAAGTAATATTTAATGAGATTATATTAACATACAACGTCTGAAGCGAGGTGTTAGGGACTGATTTCATGTTCCCGTTTTAGTTTCTTGTACATTATAATAGAAAAATGTAAAAACTTTCTGCCTATTAATACTATTACAGTGTAACCCGGATATAAGAGAGTTGTCGGGACCGGAGAAGAAGTCTCTTATATCCGGGTTTGGTCTATTTTGTTTAGGTAAGTATGGGCTCTAATTTGGGGCCAGAGAAAATCTCTCTTATATCCTGGTTTCTCTTATATCCGGGTCTCTTATATCCGGGTTACATCGTACTACTACTACGTCGTTTTATAAATCAGGCCAACCGTCAGAGAAAAACTGAAATGGCACTTTCAGCGGCATTGTCGTTTAAGCGCCAGGATTTGAAATATTGGTCTTAATTTGAATGGTATTATCGCTGATTAGATGCTAGGACACATAGAAAGGTGATTTACAAAAGAATTATCTCGGAGCCATTTAATAAACACCGAGTAGAGGAGTGCTTAATTTTGGGTTTGTCTATATTTCTGAGATGAGGTATTATATACACTATTTCATTGCTCGGACTATCATCTTCATTGCCATATTTATAACATAACTCATATCGAACTGAAGCGTTTTTTCGCTTTTCCACGTGCCATGTTTAATGTCAGTTATCAGTTATCTCCTGTCAATTTACCTCTGAAAGTTCCCACTGCCTTAACCGGGTATTGAACTCACACTCTTTGGGCCTGTCACTGGATCTAAATAACCCCTTTATCCACTGTGGCATGTGTCCTTGAGGACATCTATGCATAAATTTCTGGGTATTATAAACCTAATATCTTCAGCAACTATTTTTTTTTTACCAGTGCTCATATTGCAAATTTTGCTGTTATCATTTCAAGTTTTTAACAGAGCTCATATTGCAATTTTTTCTTGTTATTATCTTTTGAGTTATTATCTTTTTGGGTTATTAGACATTAGAATAACTTAGTCGTTCATAAGACTGCAGCTCTCAGGCACCCAAAATTGAACGTAATAGTCTCTAAGACTAGTTTTCTAGTTTCTGCTATATGGCTTGATTCCTAGTGTGTTATTGATGTCTTCTAAGCTTGCACAGCTGACGGTAGCAAAAATCAAACGGGAATCTAGTTCACTACAATAATATAAATTGTATTCGCCGTGCTTTCTAAATATTTGCTTTATTTCAGAACCGTTAATATACCAATATACGAGAGTAAGACAAAAGTAAAGCAATTTGTTTTATTTTATAAGACATAATGAACACAAACAGACATATCGTACAAGATATAACTATACGTTACAGGTTCATGTCTCTACCTTTCCAGTCTTTATATGACGGTAAACTATATCCATCAGCAAGGCCTCTAATCGGGAGACCAGAGGTTTTGAGAAATATGGAACCACCTCTGAACTCCTGTTGTTTCCAGGTGGTAGCACCTGTTAGGGTCCCAGCTGAGAGAAAATAGTGAACAACCAAACAAATATCAACACTACAATTTCATAATAATTTTAGTAACAATATATTTTTTATAGAAAAAGACAATACAGAATTTAAAAGAAAATATATTAAAATACAAGTTATAATAAAATTAGCAGCAATATATTTTTATAAAAAAATACCAACAATACAATTTTGTAGTGAAATTATCATCAATGCATTTAAAAAATAGCAACAATACATTTTATCGCCTGCAAACTATATATCTAAAACCTAAGTCTATCCTGAAAGCTAACATTACGTACAAATATTTAGATTTCGGCATTAAGAAACATATAGAGGTTGATACGCCGCTAAACAAAATCTCTCTACCCTATTTCTCAACATAGTACTAACCTCTTTCAACGGTAGTGTTCCACGTGCGAATGGGGTATATATTCCACCTACGAATGGGGTATGTATTCCACCTTTGTAAAACTCAGCCGGCTACTGAGACAGCCAATTCCTTACATTAGTTTACACTTCTTCATCACCAGCGAAGAAAATAATTGAAAAGAAATGGAAAAGAAAGAGGAGTTAACGAAAGAAACGTCAGAAGAAAAAAGAAAAGTATAAGAGAAGACGAAAGAACAAAATGAAAGAAAAAAAGATGATAGAATGAATGATAAGCGAAGAAAAGAAAAATGCACTAAGAAAAAAAAAGCTAACTAATATTCTACAACGACCATAATATTTGCCCTTCTTCATGTCTTTCATTAAACCAAAGAGATGGTTGTCTTTAGTGAATATTTACAGGAGTTTCTCCTTCAGAAACAAAGGACTCAACTACTGCTCTCTGTATCTGACGAAATTCTATCGGGATAGGCATTTTGATAAACGCTCATTTCATCATATCTCTGAATAAATACGTAATTCAAGATCAAGAGTGTATGTGCCTTTAAATCTGTTCCAAATTACGAACTATTTCATTGAGAAATTGCCTCCTATTACAAAAAAAAAATTACATTACTTTTTGACTCACCTTCATAATACATTTGGCAACGTTTCGTGGATACTTCGGCATCGAGCTATAAAAATCGCTCTTGTCTGGCTGGATGTTAGTACTGAGTAATGAGTACGGACGCAAATCGATGTCTTATAAATGTGAAATTTTACTGACCGAGGCTAAATTTACGAAAAGAATACTTCACATCATCAACGTATCTCGTTTCCTAACATTCATTGTGACATGATGAAATGAAAAGAGCAAATAAGCACACGTCCAGAATCAAGTGACAAATGTCACATTGCAATATGCTAATATGGACTCAGCTAGGAAAGACATACAAGAAGAATTTACATTCGTATTCTTTCTTGCTTTTTGAATGTCCAGATTTTTATTTCTTGATACCCGCTTTTCTATATTCCTATCAGGAAAGGGTTAAACACCGAGGGTTTTTTTTTCGACCACAGAAAGAGAAAGGCTAAGACCCAAATGCAGAGAACAAAAGAGCCATTATTAGATTTATTCGTAGACACAACATTATTATAGAAAAAAAAACTTCGACGAAAAATCAAAAAGAAATCTACATAATGTTAACTCGGTAACGATAGAAAGATAAACAGAAATAAAGATAATTATCTATTCTGTTTTATGTATTTGATCTGAGATTGAATCCAGATACTAAAGAAAACAAAATTTAAAATATTGATTTTCAATCCTTCCGTAATTGGCAAAATATCCCCTTAGATTTCTCTTAACTTATTCCCGATATTTGATGTCTGACATTTTTTTTTATTGATTTGTTTTCTAAGGCCCATTGTAGGTTATTTGAATCCAGAAAATATTTTAAATTGTAAGACGTTTTTGGGAAATAATAACAGTAATAATTAACCCATAACTGGGTGAAAAGGTGGACTCATACCCTTCCCATGGATATTTGCACGTAAACAAATATAACAAACCCAACTAGATTTGAATCCCGGTTCTCCGATTAATTCTCCCATAGCTTGGGGGAGAAGAGCCAGATTCATATATTTCCAAAAGTATTTGCGACTCTTAGATTTCTAATCCGGAACCAGTATCCATTAGACCGCCCACACATACTAGCTCACAGCATCTGGTATTCGGTAGCAGTCAAATATGTAGGTACTGATCAGACTCAACGTTGCTTAACTTTGATTTTTTGTAGTAATAATGGCTGGTTGATTGCTGTTATGTTCATCTTAATCCCTGACGCCTACTCAGGAACGTTTCTTTAGTTGAAAAGGGCCTGTGCGCCTAGGCCCACGGTCAAAATGAATTGTTACATTGTCTTGACAGTTTCCTCTACCTAGTTTCCCAAGCGAGGCGTAGTATATGTCTCATACACGTCCCGACAGCGCCGCACGCTAAGATAGTCTCTCCAGGCCGATATTACAATGAAGTCACTTCCTTGACAAATCGATCATGGTGAGATTGGAATCGCCGTTTCGTGGGCGGAGAGTTATTGTTCTAACTAAACGGCTACGCGATGATTTTTACAATGCTACGTAAGTAAATATAATGAAGTATATTAAGATTATATATTATATATATATATATATATATATATATATATATATATATATATATGAGTACTGAAAATTTTACAGCATGCATATAGTGACTGTTACATGAACCTAGTAAGGAAATCCAGTTCTGCGATTCTGACTTCAAATAATTCCTATTAACTGAGGGCGAATAGTGTCTATTGTTGTAACTATCTCGGCCAACAGGAAATGATTTCGGAAATAATTGAAGAGAAATGGAAAAGAAAGAGGAGTTAACGAAAGAAAAGTCAGAAGAACAAAGAAAAGTAAAAGAGAAGAAGAGGGAACAAAATGAAAGAAAAAAGAGATAATTGCATGAATGATAAGCGAAGAAAAGAAAAAATGCACTAAGAAAAAACGAAGGACAAAGAGAAGAGAGGAAAAGAAAACGTATTGAAAAGGGATGGCCAGACGATATGAGATATAAAGAGAAGTAAAAAAAAAAGATAGAAAGAAAATACAATAAAGAAACGAAAAGAGTGTATAAAAATGAAAGAAGGAAAAAGCAACCTGAGAGAAGAAAGGACAGAAGAATAGATGAATGAAGATGCAAATAAAATAAATGGAAAACATAAGGAAAAATCAAAGAGAGTAAACGAGAGTTTGAAATGGAAAAAAACGAAAAGAAAATGGAAGAAAAATAAAGAGAAGAATGAAAAATCAAAACCAGAAAACAAAGAACGAACGAAAGAAGGAAAGGAAGGAAGAAAGAAAAAGATGAAAAATAGAAAAAGACGGAAAGAAAAAAGACGAAAATAGAAAACGAAAGAAAGAAAATAAAAACTGAATGAGAAGAGTAGGTGAAGAAAGGAAAATGGAAGAAACAGGAAGTAGAAAAGAAAAATAAAAAGAAAGAAAGAAAGAATGAGAAATTATGAGAAAAGAAATTAAAATGAAAGAAACAGAAAATCAAAACGAAAAAAATAGATAGAGAAAGAAAGATTGATTGAAAATAAAAACAGAATGAGTAGATAAGGGAGAAGGAAAGGAAAATGGAAGAGAAGAAAGTCGAAAAGAAAGAAAGAAAAATGAATAGATGAATGAATAAAAATAAAAACAAAATGAGAAGAAAAAGGAGAAATTGAACAAATAAATTGTCGAAAAGAAAGAAACAAACAAATATGACAAGCTGAATGGAAATTGAAAAAAAAAGAGAAAGACAAATAAATGACAGAAAAAAAGATTCTTAAAGATTGCAAGAGTAACGTAGAAAGAATTTAATTTTTCCTGCACATCATATGTAACCAACCTTAAAAGATTCTCTTCACAATGGGATTCTCCTCGTTTGCCAAAAGCTAAAAGACGTAGTATGGTGATCATGTAAAATGCACATCGTTTCGATATTTCAGGACAATTATATTGGGGAAAGTACAATTATTAACAAGAAGAGAAAAGATACCCAGTGGATTAACAGATTAGAATGTAAAGGGGCTCATTTTCTGGAAAGGCAAATGTCGGTAAGAAAAGCAACTAAACGAAAAATAATTGAAGAAGTGTATACATATTGTAGGGTATAAGATAAAAAAAATTCAGAGAAAAAAAAAAGAATAAACATACAGAACGATAATTGAAGAATAAATATTGAAAAAAGGAAATCCTTGATGGAGGAGGAGAAGCTGAGAAAGAAAAAAATATATGAATGAAAAAGAAACAACAAATAAATGTGAAGAAACGTAACGTGTCATAATTAAAAATATATATCTGCAAGAATAAAAATATGAAGAAAAACAGAAAGAAAACTTATCGTAGCCAACGCCATTCGTTCTCTGATTTCAAAATTACCTTGCTAAAGCTTATCAGAGGACGAAACGCGTCGGCTAAGTTAAGTTTTCCTTTTTCTTTTATTCACACACATACCCACAAAACACACATACCTACATTATATATATATATATATATATATATATATATATATATATATATATATATATATATATATATATATATTAAAAAGAATATATAAATATAAACGGTTTATTTATATATTTTTACAAAATATATATAATATTTATTTTCCATATTTTATATATCGCGACCTTCTTCAGGAAAAGAGTGGATAAATATTAAAATGAATTAAAACCTTATGTTTTTTCCTAACAGGTTTTCTTTTTGTGGCAATGATACAAATGTCGTTCTTAGTCTGAATCAATTAGTAGCATCATGAATCAATTCCCCAACTTATTTTCTTAAATAGTTGAGTCTAACATCTTTCATCTAATCATTACAATGACAATCATGATCCTGAACTCAGTTCATTATTTAAAGTAGTAAGAGGATTAAATGTAAACATTTGAAATTGACAGGATTTTTTCTTCCATTTCCCCGAATCAGACGTTAAATACTTGGGTGTCTTTGCTTTCCTTTCTTCTTTTTCTGACTGAAATCCAGCAGTGTCTCTGTCTTTCCTGTATTTCAAAATGTAATAGTCGATTATTTTTAGTTAATGATAGTGAATTGGTGTCACTCTGCAGTGATACAAAACTGACTATCTGATCCGTACATGCAAATGCATTAAATATTTTTAAAAAAGCAATTTTGGAAGTAGAGACGCGTCACTCAGTTGAAGATACACCGAATGTGCCACTCTGGGCTGAGGTTAAAAAAATACACCACTGATTGTGTCTCCGTGTATAATGCAGAACACGTCATAAAAAGTGATACCTGTGTACTCTATGTTTACCCGTCTATCTCTAACATTTTGATTATCTTACAAACGTAACATATGTCTATCTTTTTTTATTATCTTGCAAACCAAACCTATACCTACCGGTCTATCTGGCAAAGTAAACCTGTCTACCTTTTTTTATTCTCGTGCAAAACAAATTACTATTCACATTTCTACGTTACTCTCAAACTAGACATATGTCCACCATATTGTTATTTGAATGATTCAGTTTCTACGGTTTATCAACCCTTCGCAGTTTATTTAAATCCAGAAAATATTTTATATGGTAATAACTTTTTTATATAATAATGATTAAGTGATACATGTCTTACTCGTAGCGGGGCAAGAAGAGGTGGATTCCTTTATTTTCCAAGGTTATTTCCACGTAAGAAAATAGGACGAAGACAACGGCAATTGGAATTGGAATTTGTCTCCCCGTTTAATAATTTGTTATATCTCGTGCAAGATATAATAAACAAAGTAAACCCGAGTGTGGTTTTCAATAATAATTTTATAATCGGATGTAGGTATGTCAAAATACAGAGACAGAGTCAGGAGTAAGCTAACCGCAATGGTGTTAGTAAACGAAGACCTTTTCTCTCTACTGTTCACTGTGGTCGTACTTTATCGGCAACCAGTCTGTCCATTATCGTGAATGGGGAAGTTGGGTTATCTCATCACAACATAATTCCAAGCCATTGTCCATTACTCTACTGTTACACCATCTTGTATTTCCAAGAGCTCACCTATCTAGGTATTGGCCAGTCTCGACATTGCTTAACTTCATTGATCGTACGGAAACAGGTGTCTCAACGTGATGTGACCGTAAGCCACCTTATTATTAAAAAGGAGATAATTCGACATTAAATAACAATGGACAGGTCGATATCTCGTAAATCAAAGTCAAAGAAACTAGAACAACTACCGAGTTTGATCAACAAACAAAGAAAAAATAAAAGTAAGAATTCCAACAGATATAAGATTGACCTCGAAAGTGATGGAAATAAATAGATATATGTACACTTTACCAAAAAACTGAAAATTATTGATGGACCTTTAATATTAATTGTCGTAAATATCTTTATTTTAGCAATTGGTGAGACCCGGAAGGGCCACATTAACTATTAAAAAATCTTGGAAAAACTTGAGGGAAAAGATAGAGAAAATATGAGTAAGAATAATTAAGAAAACTGTTGAAGTCATGATGAAGTTTGATATCCCCTGATCTCTAGCGATGGCTACTAAATCAGCTAATGAATAAATAATAGATTCATTCAGCGTAGACTATTACAAATATACTATAATATCGTAAAATAAAACATTTACTTAACCAGAAAGACAATACGACAAATTGAAATTCGAAAGAAAAAGGAAATCGAATTAAGATTTGTTGGAAAGGAAAAGGAAACAATTTTAGCGACTAAAACCAAAGTAAGGATTCTTCAAAGAAATGAAAATTGGACTTAGAAAATAATAGGAATAAATATATTCGACGCAGGAAATTGATGTAAATGAGAATGTAATGATACTAGGTGGTCCTTCGAAATAGAGTCTAAATAGACGGAAAATAAAAAAAAATGTTAAAAAAGGAGAGAAAATAAGAGTTTGTTGAAGAAAGTACATGGAAAGAGTGGAATCGAAAGAAATAATTGAAGCTTTATTGAAGGAATCAAGACACAAATAAGAAAATATAGAAAAAACATAAAAAAAGGAAACTGAAGATAAAAACAGTTAATAAAGAAAAGAGTCTTTTATGAAAGAAGACGGCAACAATATTTTATTTAAATATAAAAAGAATTGAGAAAAAACATGATTAGAGATAAATGAAAATTAAGAAAGATGTTGGATTTTATGTTATTGAACTAGCATTATTTAATGACGAAATCTGTATTTTTTTATTGTATTTTTGTATTTGAATAAACATTGTTCAGGTTTTGTATTTGAGTATATAAATAAATATTAGTCGGGTTTATAATTGTCTAAATGCAAATATTGGTCGATTTTATACCCGAGTGTTTAAGCAAATATTAGTGATGTTTATAAGTAGGCCTATAGGATAATATTGGCAGTTTTTATACATGATTCAGTAAACAATCTTCAGGAAGGTGGCTACTTTTTTGGTTGGCTTTCCTCCTTTAGGGTAGGATGGCGAGGTTATATTGTACGCCATGACAACAGGTGAAAAATAGGGAAAGAAAAATTAAAATGAAAGATGCTAAATAATTACAAATGGAAATGAATAGTAAATGCAAATTGGGGATTTAAAAAAGTAGAAGAAAGACTAAAACTGGACAGAATATATTAAAAGTGTTTTAAAAATGAAATTAAAAACAAAAGGTGTAAAGAATGAGTTGGAGAAATTGTTATGAAGAAATAGAGAATCATGGGAAATCAACCATTTAAAATCTATAATAGAATTCGAAGAACATTTATGAAACGGTGAAGCAAATAAGATATTAGAATAAAAAGTGACAGAAAAAGAGATGTAGAATAAAAACAAATGATAAATGCAAATAAAAAATCTGTTGAAAAAATATTGAATAAGAAGAGAGAGAAAATTGCTAGCAGGTGAAAAACGCTATGAAATAAATAATGGAATAAAATTAAGTTTTGAAAATGGAAATCTAGAGAAACGGAGTGGAAAGATGGAGGAAAATTAATTATAGATTAAAAAAAAAGAATTAAAAAAAATGTACAAGAATTTAGAAATTAAAAGGTAAAAGAAAACGCCTAAAGCATTTACAGTTGAGCTGACTAGATGTAGCCGGAAATTCTATGCTAACAGATTCTTTTCTCGCAATTTTCACTTGTGGAACTCCCTTCTGGCTCCATGCTCTCCAGCTAACTTAAATCTGGAAAAATTTAAATTGCAATGTCAATCTCTATCTACTGTTCTGATTACTGTTTCCTTTTCCTGCTATTTATCAATGTTTCTGTTTGCAATTCTTCCACACACCCTGTAACCCTTTTGTCTTAGTGGCTTTACTGCATTGCATGGGGAGAAACCTATTTTTAAAAAAAATCACTTCTAATTCTAATGAGCAGCTGAAGACAAAATAAGGGAATTTGAAAACAGATGGAAGACCGAAAAGGTGAATATTTAAGCTAATATGGGAAAGGTGAATATTTAAGCTAATATGGGAAAGGTGAATACTTAAGCTAATATGGGAAAGGTGAATATTTAAGCTAATATGGGAAAGGTGAATATTTAAGCTAATATGGAAAGGTGAATATTTAAGCTAATATGGGAAAGGTGAATATTTAAGCTAATATGGGAAAGGTGAATACTTAAGCTAATATGGGAAAGGTGAATATTTAAGCTAATATGGGAAAGGTGAATATTTAAGCTAATATGGGAAAGGTGAATATTTAAGCTAATATGGGAAAGGTGAATACTTAAGCTAATATGGGAAAGGTGAATATTTAAGCTAATATGGGAAAGGTGAATACTTAAGCTAATATGGGAAAGGTGAATATTTTAAGCTAATATGGGAAAGGTGAATATTTAAGCTAATATGGGAAAGGTGAATACGGTTTAAGCTAATGGGAAAGGTGAATATTTAAGCTAATATGGGAAAGGTGAAATTTAGCTAATATGGGAAAGGTGAATATTAAGCTAATATGGGAAAGGTGAATATTTAAAGCTAATATGGGAAAGGTGAATACTTAAGCTAATATGGGAAAGAGTATGCTAGGAAGACTTTAGACGACAAAGAAAAAGGAAAGAATCAAAGTGCGCTGTCAATATAATAAAGTAAAAAGAAAGAAATACCTTACAAGGAAAAAGAGAACGTCCATTTAAATTAAAGTCAAGGGATAAATATTCAATACTGAATTAAGAGAAGAAATTAGAGGAAAAATTGAATACCAGCAAAACACCTCAAATGCCAAACAACATCCCATCATTAACGAGCAAAACCTGAATGTTCCAGAAAGTAGACGTTTGTTTGGAATACGAAGGTAAAGAAGGTGGTTCTACTCAATGTATGTGGCAATGTGGGTCCTAGCTGTTAGGGTTAGAATTGGTCTGTCACGTGGAACAAGTTTGTTTTTGTTTTTTTTTTCTCAAGGTGACCAATTGTCTTGAACTCTTAGTAGGATTTTATCTTACCGCAGACTTCAACAGGAACTGACTTTATACGATCCATGGCTGAAGATACTGGAAAAATAGTCAGTTTCCTGTAACACTGCAATAAATCCTCATGTCTTCTAAAGCGCCTACGCGGCCTTCTGGGTTATGAATTATTTTCTACGCCAACCTCTTTCCCACAGAGGAAAAGTTGCAAACTATTCTCTACTCTATTGATATTTCCTTGGAAATTGTTTTGACACGATGCATTGCTTAGTTCCACCAATTCTAATCCCTAACAGCTAGGACCCACATTGCCCCGTACATTGTGTAGAACAATCTTCTTTCCCTTCGTATTCCAAACAAACGTCTACTTTCTGGAACCGACTCCCAGGAGAAGGGTTTCCCGACCACAACAATCTTACCGTTAATAATAATACAATAAATATTATCTTTCCCACGTATCCTCATAAACTGCGCTTCTTACCTCCTTTTCTTACCCTCACCGAGTAACCTTGAGTGGCTCTTGGGCCTTCTATATGTATGACATTAGTAAAAAAGAAAAAAGAAAACATATTAAAAAGAAATAAAAACAAGCATTAATATATTTAAATCAAATAAAAATAGAACAGAAAGAAAACTATAGAATTAAAGACGGACATCACGAGAAAAGCAAAAAAGAAAAGCCGTACAAAAAGCAAAATGAAGGATGACTCAGCAATAGAGAGTTGGTAACGAAAAATGTAAGAGAAAGAAAATTAACAAAAAATGTATCGTAAACAACCAGAAAGTAACGAAAATGGTGGCGAGAAACGAGACAATCGATTTAGAAAGTAAAATTATATAAGCCAAATCAAAAGACCAAAGCCTGAGAAAAAAAAAAAAAAAAAAAACTAAGAAAATTAGCCCGATAAGCGATATGTGAATAGATTTTGGGGACAGGACATCAGTGAACGAAAGAAACACAACTAAATATAAAGAATTACAAATACAAAACTAGTGAAAGTCGGAACAGAACAAAAAGTATAACAACAGAAGACAAACAAATATCGAAATAAAAACTACATGAAACGAACTGATCGATACGTTCGACAACGGAACTCTTCTGTCTCTTTGCGATTAAAGAGTGCAGAGAGACTATCTAACTAATCACAGTGCCAAGCCACCAATCTACCATCCAGTAAAAATAGAAGACAAAAAGGAAGGAAAAAATTACTTCCTCTGTCGAAAGCTATTAAACCATTTTTTATTGGAATTATAATAAATAAATAAAAAAACAGATAACCACCGACTGAATTTCTTGAAAGAAGTTTCTGTTATCTTAATCAATTAAAGTGCTATGTATCTCGCTCACTTTGTCATCTAAAACAGAGAAAAAATTTAGATACATAAGAAAATAGAAAGAAAATCTTAAAGAAGTAATACAAGGTGTGCGCAAATATTTCCAACATTAAAAAATAACTTTGTCCAACTATAAACACGATAAAAACATCAAACTATGAGTGGTGTAAAATGTAAGGCCAATAGATGACTGTCCATCAAAGTTTGGTCTAAGAAGAAAAAATATTTTTTCCACATATATAATGTGTGAAAGTCCCTATTTAAAATTGTGAACAACTTTATGATTTTCTTGATGCATGTTTTATTGTGAAGAGCATAATGACAGAAGTACAGCGAGGCGCAGATTAATGCTGAAAAAATAATGGATAATAAAAGCAGCTTTTTCTATAAGACAAATTAATATATTACAATTAAAATTTATGCACAATCATATACAGTGTAACCCGGATATAAGAGACCCGGATATAAGAGAAAACCGGATATAAGAGAGATTTTATCTGGTCCCAAATTAGAGCCTGTGTTACCTAAACAAAATAGACCAAACACGGATATAAGAGAAACCCGGATATAAGAGACTTCTTCTCCGGTCGCGACAACTCTCTTATATCCGGTTACACTGTATAAGGTATTGGCATATCTCGATTTAGACACCATCATTGGCCACCATTTTCTCTAGGCGGGACCACAAGCTGGAGCAGGCATAGACAACTGTGTCCGTATCCATGTTGACCATGACGTCCCAAATGCCTTCTATAAGAACCTCTTTGGTGTTGTAGGCCATATAGTTCACCTC